TCACTTCACGTGATATGATCTTTATCCAATAATATATGAGATATTTATAATTCAATAATAAAATATTATGATGAAAGGTCATTATACAACAGTATATCTAACATTAAAGTTAGTATTATTTTCATATACTCATTCTGGTATTTTGTCTTTGTTATTATTATTATTATTATACACTTTGATAGTGAGATTGATGTCTTTAGTTTCAATATCATTATGAATAATTATAATATTATCTGAATTATATTTATTTGGGATTTCTTCACATGATTTATAGATACTTTCATTATCAGAGATTATATTATTTTCTATTTGATTGATTTTGTTTTGGACTTTCTTGTACAGTTAGTAAATTTCATTGTGTATATTTTATAAATTAATAATATTAAGTATTTGAAGAGGTGTGACTTTAATATTTCTAATCTCTTTTAATAGTTTGTCTAATTCAGTAACATATTGATTAATTTCTTGAACAGGTTCTTCTTCTTTAATTATTGGATATATGGATAATTTGCCTTTGTTAATTTTCATGGGTGATTGATCAATAATTGCTTGTTTTAATTATATATAATCATCACAATAAGTTGAATCATAGGGAATGAGACAGATTTCATATAGCTTAACATTAATGAATTCTAGTTTGACAAGTTGTAATCATCATTCTAAAGAGATTTTTTAATAAATCAAATGAAAAATTTTAGTGGTTGAGACTTTTTTTGATTCATTATACTCGATATATTCAATTTTATTTTCAATATTTTCTTCTTATATGTATTGGGATAATATTACTTTTCCAATTTTATTACAAGCTAAATAAATATTAATCAAGAGAGATTGTTCTCTGAGCTTTCGAATAGTTCCAGAATTCTTGTATCATTCATTATGATTGAACCAAAAAATGCATTAATATTTATAGGTACAGAAATATTATTTCTTATAGCTACCAGTAATATATATATTTCTGGGTTCATCTCAATCTTTACAATATGAACAGAATGGAAAATTAAGTTGCTTTTCTCTATAATATTGTTTACAAGTCAATTTGAAAATATTTTTTAAGGTAAGGTATGATTTGGAATAATATTCTTTGACATATTTTCTACATATCTTACTATTTTAAAGGTTAAGTTGATTGCTTGTCATGCTTCACTAAAGGTATCAAAGTGCTGATCAAGATATTGAGTCTTTAAATAAAGTTATTTTACTTCATTAGCCCAGTTGTTATTAGTTTTGTATTTGGTACAGTATGGCTTATGTCTTTCAATGATGATCCAGTCAGTTAAATCATCATAGTATTGATGGCATTGTTGTTCTGAAGTGTATAATTAATTATGACACCAGCATTTTGTATTTGATTCTTTCCAGTCAAAAGATTATTGACTATTTCATCTATATTCTTGTTGAAATTTTTCATCAAGTTGTTTGATATCATCCCAGGTGAACTTTTTTCATTGAACTTTAATTCCTTTTTCATATACTTGTACATCATCAATTATTTTTGCACTTCTAATAATTCTAGTTGGCATGTCTCCACTACTAATATAACTAATATCTCTTTTGTGAGTGTTGACTAGATATGACCTTTTCTTTAAAGGCATGCAATAATTTGTCTCTTTCTAATAGCAAGAAGATTAGGATGGAGACTGGTTCTAGCAACCTCATCCTTTACAATTGACCAAATTTCCTAGATTGATTGAAGCTCACAATGGTAAGGCTGACTATAAACAAATTGTGATCATACTTTTTAGCTATTTGAACACATGTAAAAGGTACATTTGTTTTATTTAGTTTTACTAATTCATAATGTTCTGCTTTGCTAGAATTTTCCGGAATGTCGACATTAGCTAATAATAACCATGCAATTATCGTATCCTTTTTCGAGTTCGATGTTGACACTTGTTCAATTCGACGTTTGTGATAGTGAGCATCGTCCATATGGATATCAACTGACCCATAGCGTTCCTTGAAAAGATCTTCGAATATTTCAGCCGAAAAATTACCGTGATAGTCAACATGATTCGCTATGATATTGGAATTTCGAACAGCATCGGGAACATTATCCCAGGCATCAGCATCCGCTCGTTTTCTCACTCTTGATGAAGGTGGTTTAATTGATGGATCCCACAATAAAAGAGAATTAGGAACGATTTCACCAGAGTTTATTAGTGTTGCCATTACGCATTACAACTATTGCACCAAAAATAAAGATTAAGGGACCGCGCCCAGGTGAGTATACAACTCTGTGCTTTGGCACCCAAGTACGATCTGTAATGTGATGCAGATGACAATACGACTTGTCTAAAAAACCTCTGACCAGTTGGAACTTTATTCCTTCCTTGTAAGTTTTCAAACCAACGTCGTAAATGACAGCTACGAAAGGCAACTTTTCCGATGATTTATGCAACATATTTCAACGTTCACCACGGTGTAATAACATCCCATCGTATGAAGTACACAAAGTAGCTGCCCTTTTGAGAGTATATGGACATTTTCTTCGAGTTTTTGTCATAATATGTGTTGAAAGTGGGACACCGGAAACATTTGCAGATATAATGAGGCTGTGTGCAAGTTCAACAACATTATGGTCAAGTTTTTTTTGGTCGGCCTTGGATTTTTTGTGGTGAGAATTCTTCGTGTTTACTTCCATTATGTTCAGCAACCACGCGCGCAACTGTTGCCTCCCCGATACCGAGAACCGTAGCAACCTCCTTGCGTAGTGATAAGCCTTGACGTTGCTTCTGGCATTGTCGGATATCTAGAAAGTATTTTCATTACTAGTTAGGAAACTTCGATCTCGTTCCAAATCACCCATGGGAAAAAAATGACCAGGTTTGTTAGGAAATTTAAAATTTGAAACCTTCCTTACCTTTTATATAATTTGTATGCTCATATGACTTGATTGTCGAGTTTTGTATCATAGGTATCAACCTTTTTGCGCCGGACCATATTAATTAAATTCATATCAAAAGTCTAGGGATGTCAAGTATCAGTTTGTTTGTTCCAAATTAAGTTAAAATTATATTTACAGTCAACCTTGTTATAGTGAAGGTTTTCGGGCTATTAGTGAAATATTTTCAAAAATTCACTATATCGAGAGTATTTATCCATGTATACTGTTTTGAGCTCAACTTCACTATATCGAGAGTTTAATTAGTCCTTCACTATATCGAGAGTTGACTGTAATAGTATTTTTTATTGACTTCATTAATTAATTGCTATTTTTTCTTTTAGATTGCAAAATAAAAATTAACGAGAATGGAGATATATCAAGAACAAATCCATGATGAAACACTTCCAATATCATGCTCTTATCAAATGAAACTGGTAAGCATGACTTTATATATGCGTTATTTATTATTAAAAGGATAAAAAGTATATATTTGTAATTTTGTCAGCATCAAAAAACATTAGCGTTTGAACAAATACAATGCAAGTATCTATGATGGACAAAAAAATTATAATTCACCAATATATTCATCCTTCCCAAACAAAAACGTCATTTAGAGTTAACAAGTATAATTCCTCCTTCATACTAAAATAAGACAAGTGAAAGCAATCATACGCTACAATTTGAAAACTAACATTTTTTTTAATACGATCTCCTCACTCAAGCCCCCTCAAATAATAACGATAATTACATAAATCGATTATGATTTATCATTGTAATAAATTCGTGAGTTTTATAAGCTTATTTAATGAACTTCTGTTATCAAATTCTTAAGGTCGTGAAAAAAATTACGTAACGGAAAATAAAAAATTATGAAAATATCGAACTTCTGATTGGTTCGCCGAAAGTTACACTAAAAAATTTGGTTGTTGCTAAAAAGTCACAAAAGCCTTCTTTTTTATGCGTTCTGTCTCATTTTTCATGCATGTTACTTTTCATCTTTAATGTACGTACGCTAATAAACTCAAAAGATGACATTTAATACTCATGATTGTAGTGAATGCGTTGATGTCAAAAATGGGGTTACTGCAAAGCGTGTTCAGTTCACAATACTTATGATTATAGTAAATGTACCAAATGAGTACTGCTCTATATCACAAACGAATTTATGTTAAACGGTCTAGTGGAAACAAAGATATCGACATTCTAATAAATGAATGCAATAATATTAATAACGATGATGGTGAATTGTTCGAATGGATCCCTTTTGAAAGATTTACCAATGTTGAATATCTTGCAAAAAGTGGTTTTGGATAATTTAGAAAGCAACTTGGTTGGACGGACCATTGATTAAAATGTGGTATCATGTAGAAAATAAATTTAAGCGATATAAAGAACATAAAGAAGTTGTGTTGAAATCATTACACAATTTAAAGCAAATTACACCCGAGTTTATAAACGAAGTAAAACGAACACCTTTAAGTGTAAGTATGTCGCTTTTTTGTTTTTCAATCTAATTAACTTTTTCAAATTAGATTATTCAGACTGCTCTAAGGTGTACTGTTTGGAATGGAATATATTATTATGGAAAACTAAAAACCAATACGTACTCGGTAGTGATGGATTATGGCGATCTACGCAAATACATGTACGTGTACTGTATATGAATTCCAACCACCAAAAATTGAATTGGAACAAAAATTAGGATATTTAATGAGTATTACTTCAGAGTTGAATAGAATTCACAATGAGGAATTTGTGCATCGTGACTTTCACCCTGGAAATTTATTAATGCGTCGTTATCCTCGAATTGCTGATTACCAAACCAGCAGATATAGAAAATTCTAATCAAAAAATTTGCGGCGCACTTTCTTATATGAGTCCAGAGGTACTAAATAGAAAAACATACACTAAAGCTGCAGATATTTATAAGTTTGGAATGATTACGTACGAGGTTATCACAGGTGAATACCATTTGGTGAACGAAGTCATGATATAGATCTCGTATGCGACATTTATAAAGGAGTACGACCTACGATACAAATAATATTCCTAAATTATTCAAGTTTATTATTTAAAAATGTTGGGATCATATTCCAGAAAATAGACTAACTGCTAAGAAACTTGAAGACTTTATCTACTCTATCAAATATGGAGATACGACAAAGTTTAATGCGTTGAATGCTTTGCATTTCCAGTACTACAACTTTTAGAGTATCTTAAGACACATGAACTTAAACTAGAAATGCAGAAATTAGATGAACTTGATAAGGAGATGAGATTAAAAAAGAGCATTCCTACGAATACGAACAAAAACAACAAATCCACTCCAATGCAGTTTACACCAGTCGAATATTTACAAAATTAAGCATATTAGCATTTCACAGTAATTAAAATTCATATCAAATGTATAGGAATATCAAGTGTCAGTTTGTTTGTTCCAAACGGAGGTAAAATAACATTTATTATTTTTCTTTGTGTGCAAAACAGATTTCGATTTTAGTATTCCACATGAAATCAAAGGGACGAAAATATATCGGTCGACTTGCAAGATAAACTACAGACTCATGATGAAACGCTTCCAACAAAGTAAACAATACATATATATACTTTAGACTTTATTAAATTAAGTTGACAACAATAATAATTATATCTTTTATTAACTGTGTCTCGAGTTAAAGCACAACAAAAGCAGTTTTTACTTTATATAGATAAATAAATTTTGATAAAAATTTATTTTACTTAGGAACTTTTATACGTACTATAGTTTGTTCGTTTAATTTATATGTTTATAATATAATGACACATTAGAACTAGAAATTTTGAGTTTATATTAAAGCCAAATTCGATATCGATATGTATTATCGCTACGTATCGGTATTGTAGAATACATGTACATGCACATGTATTACGCCTACAACATGCATTTGAAAGAAGAGCCTCTATTTACACAAATAAAATTCATAAAAGGCTTCTTTTATCGTTATACGTTCTTTCTTATTTTCTTGCATACATGTAACAATATCGATTTTCTACACAACAACGATAAATGGCTCGTCTTTTCAAATTTGATTGGTCCACAATGTGCTTGCTTGTTGGTGCCAAATTCCGTATCGTTATACGTACATGTGCAATGCCCATCTCTAAATGTTTAACTATCGCTATTGGTAGACCTCCTGTGTTTATGCGCTTCC